AGGAGCTAAACTGAGACTGACTGGGCCTTTCATCCATCAGTTCACACACACGATTGAACCCCTGCTATAAACTTGGACAGTAGGGTAGACAATGACAGATCCTACACCTGTCTGTAGTCTGGGAGATAGACAGGTAAACCGATCGTTAGCCCAAGAAGGTTAGTGTCTCAGCAAAGGTGCTCTAGGAGGCAGGAGGGAATCAGTAACCTTGGGAGACCTCAGAGACAACTCCCCAGAGGAGGCTATGCCTGAGCGGAACCTTGAATGACTCCAAAGTGCACAGCAAGGAAGATAAAGGAATTTCAAACAATGGGGGGGGGGGGGGGCAAGTATTTGTAAGAAATAGCGATTCTCATATGGGTATGGTGGTTCTGTGTGATACTTTGTACTATAAGAGGTAGAGGGTAATGGGAAAGGGCAATGACACCCATTGTCTGTAGTCCTTACGAGAGTCCTGTGATCTTGCTGCTATTAGCACATTTCACAGATGAGGGAAGCAGGTTCTGAGCAGGCCAGAGCAAGGCTTCTCACTGAAACTGAGTCCTGACCCCTGGTGGCTGAACATACTACAGTGTCTTCGTGAGAAAAGATGGAGCTTCAAAGGTCATTTCTTTAGGAATGCTATTAGGACACTTAAATGCCAGGAGCAGAAACCCAGTTCTGAGAGTCTGGGATTGGCGGCGGTTGGGGGTTGGCTTAGAACTGAAGAGAGCGAGGTCCAGCTTCAGCCTGGACTCGGGCACTCAAATGTCATCATAAATTTGCCTTTCTCCAGCTTGCAACTAGGTTCAGCCTAGGCTGCTTCATTTTCAGTTAAAGTTTCCCTGGGATGCCACCAGAAACTCCAACTTACATCTTCCCACCTTAGTACCCACTCTCCATGCAAAATATGCCCCTTTCCTCCTGTTTCAACAGAAAGTTTTAAGCTTATGTTGCATTGGCTCGTTTGGGTCATATCTCTTCTGCTATACCCAGACCTGGAGCCAGGGCAATGAATAATAGGTGAATCTCACCTCACCCCCATGGATAGGGTAAGGGAAGTTTGGATCCCAAAGAAGAATCCAGGCACCGTCACCAAGAGAAGGGGAGTTGATGCGGGGAAGGTAAAAATGAGACGTTTCCATAAGCCATTACTAAATGGCACAAACTCTATGACGGGCTCTCCTAAAACCCCGTTAATGTCTTCTCCAAGTGTCAGGGCAAAAATGGGCCATGAAGGGATATTAACCCCACTAGGATCTCTAGACATGTGTAACATAAGAGAGTCTACAGAGGATGGGAATCCAACTTCTCTGGCATGGATGGCAAGCTAAGTAAAGGCGGAAGGGCTCCATACCACCAGACACTGTGAAGTTAAATATGCGTGGTAACCATCTTTTATAAGAGGACAGAAATTCTATATGCTAAGGAGCAAACAGAAGGAGAAAAAAAGGCTGTTTAAAACAGGCAAAAAAGAGGGGGGGGAGGACAGGAAATTTTAGAAAAGACGGGACAAATATAAAACACAAAATCTCATTGAATAAATTAGTCAAAATCCATCAGTAATCATAGGTAATATAAGTGGAATAAGTTGTGCCAATTTTTAAAAAATGAAGGGTGTTAGATATGATTTTTTAAATCCAAACAAATATTTTTACAAGAGATAGACTTAAGGAAACAAAAATGTAGAACGTATAAGGAAGGAGACATAAGATATGCTAGGCAAATAGTAACCAAAAGAAATCTGGGTAGCTGTATTAATATCAAAGTGAACTGTAGGCAAAAAGGATTACTAAACATAAAGATGGTCACCACCTTTTGAAAAAAGATTCAGTTCACTAGAAGGAAAAGAATTCTAGACCTGTATATACCAAATAAACTCGCTTCAAAAAGTAAAATTGACAGAACTATAAAGAGAGATTAAACATTAACATGAACAATATTAAGAATGAAAGGGAGATACTATTATAGATTTTGCAAAGATTAAGAAAGAGAATAAGAACACTGTGATCAATTTTATGCCCAAACAAGGGAAAACTCAAATGCAGTGAACAAATTCCTAGCAAAACAGAATTTGCTAAAACTGACTTGGGAAGAAATAGAAACTGTGAATGATCCTATAACCTTTAAAAGTAAAGTGAATGAAACACGAGAAGTACTTGGTTTTGCTAAGGAGTTCTACCAAACACTCAAGGAACAGATCATTCCAGTGTTCCTCGGACTCTTCAGAGGAGAGAAAAGGGGAAACCCTCCTGTTCATTTAATGAGACCAGCAGAGTGTAAGATCATAAAAATGAGAAACAACTCAGATGTCCATCAAAAAGTGAACAGATAAATAAGTTGGCGTATCTTCCCATAATGGAATACTTTACGACAGTGAAAATGAACTACAGGTCCACATGTCAACACAGCTTAATCTCAAAAGTATAATGTTAAACAACAACTTAAAAAAAGGTAGTACATAAAAAAAAAAAAACCCTAAAACATGATCCCACTTTTATAAAAGTAAAATGCTGGCAGAACAACACAATGTATTGTTTACCAATACATACATATTTGCTGAAACAAGTCAGAGGTTGGTAAATTCTGTTAGTTAACCTGAGAGGTGGTTACACTGGTATGCATTTTAATATTCTTTAATATTTTAAGCCACACATATATGCTTTTTATATAATCTCTTTGATGTATTTTATTTAAAAATATTTAAGGACAGAATCCAGAGAAGGCAATGGCACCCCACTCCAGTACTCTTGCCTGGAAAATCCCATGGACGGAAGAGCCTGGTGGGCTGCAGTCCATGGGGGTGCTAAGAGTTGGATACGACTGAGCGACTTCACTTTCACTTTTCACTTTCCTGCATTGGAGAAGGAAATGGCAACCCACTCCAGTGTTCTTGCCTGGAGAGTCCCAGGGATGGGGGAGCCTGGTGGGCTGCCGTCTATGGGGTCACAGAGAGTCAGACACGACTGAGCGACTTCGCAGCAGCAGCAAGGACAGAATCGCCTGTAGCAGAAGATCTATCTGAGTAGAGGAGTTATTCGAGGTGTTTAGTGTCTTCCTTTTGTTAGTCTCTAGGTTCTGAATCTTTTACTATGAACATATGATACTTCACAATCACATTATTTTAAGAGATTTTTAAGCCTTTTAGAAGAAGGGAGGTAATTTCGTAGCCTAGAGCTATCCTGTCTTCCATAATTTCACTAATCTCAGTAAAAGTCATTTTATCACAGTTCAGGCTCCGTCTGGAATGTTAATCCAAGGTTAGATCACTGCCTGCTTGGTCAAATATGTACCCTGCTGGCATGGAGAACTGGAGCCTCTGAAAGGCCAGGGGTGTGACCTTGACGTCCAGGTGAGAGTGGGGCTGGCCAGACCCGTGGCGAGAGGCTGGGCCACGAGAGGCCTCCAGCATCGGCTAAGCCAGGACATGCCAGGCGCTGAGGGAGGCACGGGTGTCAGCTGTGGCTGCTGGCTGTGTCCCTGTCCACAGTCTTACAGTCAGGCAGCCTCATGTACAGCGCCGCTCTGAAGGACTGCAAGAAGAGCAATGATGCTCTTCTTTCTCTCTCTGGGGAAGGCAGTGAGTTTGATTCCTCTGGTGGTCAGAATCCCTTAACAGATGATGGCTAGAGCTGAGGCCAGGCACAAACTTCAGTAGGACATGCGGAGAGGACCTGATCTCAGGACCAAGCGAAGGCTAGCTCCCAGCTTGGCACTGGATGTGGAAAGCCACTGCTCCAGCAGCCTAGGCAGGGAAGCACGAAGCTAGGCAGCACCCACTGCCTTAGAGCTAAAGCCAGATTTTGTCCTGCTCTGGAGCTGCAGAGACCCAGGCAGAGTCTCCAGGGGCCACGGGTGGGCCAGGGTGGGCAGGACTTGCAGGGGCACCCCCGGAACCACAGCTGCTGGCAGATCCCCTTCCCTGCACACTTAGATCCCCCAGCCGTATTATGTGCACGTAAGGTCTCCACGCCCCTGGCAGTTCCCACCAAAATAGATGGACAGGACTTTACACGATCGCCATAAATGGAAATGCAGTATCACTTGTGGAAAATGGAAGCACTTGTGCACAGAGAAGCAATGACACGAGACAATGCCCCCCAAGTCTGTCCGGATTTCACTGCCTGATTAAAGCTCTGAGCCTGTGCTCGCTCCGGGTTATAAAGGGAGACCTGCATGCTGGGTGCTGAAAAACACATGCCCCCCGCCCCATGTGGAGTCATCCCTCTTGACCTCAGAAGGCTTGAGATAAAAACAATAAAGGAATTCTCACTCACTGAACATAGAGGAAGGGAAAGCAGGTCAGCCATCCACACTGCAGCACGCAACAGGCAAAGGTATTTTGTATACCTGGGTATGAGGACAGCCTTTCTGAAAATGTACATCAAATACTCTGTTAAAACCTTTCCTCCCAAGTGTTTGGCTAGCTTTCCGTCCGGGACCTTCAATCAGCTTGACTCAGCAGATACTGACTGAGGACTTACTATGTGCTGGCCACTCAGTAGGGGTTTGAAAGGCAAGCGCCGTGCCTTCAGGGACCACAGATTCTAGTGGAGAGGCAGACGTATTCACTGCCGGTTTTAATGCAAGGCTGAACAAGTCTTTATGTCTTCTCCCAGCCTTCCCCCCCACTCATGCAAAACAGGATGTAGGTGTTCAGGAATCATTTTATTCAGACACAGAAAGAGCAAACATTCATTGGGTTCAAACTATGAGCCAGGCAATATATGGGATACTTGTAGACATATTTTATAACACTTAATCCTTTCAAGGATTGCAAAGGTGGTTATCTTTACCTCTGCTTAGAGGGGTTAGGTAACTTGACCAGGGTACACAGCATGTTAGAAGCTGACTTGGGAGTTGAAAGCCAGTCCCGTGAATGTTCCCACGTGTTGGAACCCCTATTGACGTGGGTGGTCCCCCGCTCCCTCCCCCCCAATCCTGTCCCGGGGCCGCCGGGTCTGGCCCCGCGGCCTTGCCATGGTGCTCTGCTCACCCGGCCTGTGCATGTATCCCCCCAGGAATCCAGCACGATCCCGCACCGCGTGCTCCAGAAACCTTCTCAGCTGCTGCAAGAGCCTTTGGGCGCTCAGGTTCCTCCAGAGACACGGGGGAGGCCCCTGGGAGGAGCAGCCAGGGACGCCACCGTCAGAGGAGCCACCAGCAACCCCCGCCCAGGAATCGGTGAGGACGCTGCCCTCCGAGACTGTGTAGACCCGGCCCCATGATGCTGAAGATAACTGCTCCCCATCACCAAGATTTGACCCACGGAGCCACCAACGACCCCAAAACCGCACAAATCACAGAGGACACGCCCCACCTTGAGCCCGGGGACTCCCAGAGCACAAGGAGGGTGGGTGCTGGGGTCCTCTGGGCTGGGATGGAACTGGCCTGCCATGCCCCAGGACTCCCCTGGGTCCGGGTCTGCCAAATCCCACGGGTTCAAAGCTCACGTTGGTGCTGGCCCTGGGTCACCAGCAGAGACGGCGGCACTTCTGAGGACCTGTGTGTGTGCAGAAACACGGGTGCCGTCTGGGCACCGCAGGGGGTGTTGCCATCCCAGCGCTCTGCGGGATGCAGGGAGGGAGGAGAAGGGAAAGGAAGGCCGTCGGTCTTTAATGAACACCTTCTGTGTGCCCGGTACTTCCCCTGCGTCGGCTCATGGCGTCCTTAGTAGCGCGGCTGGGATCGCTGATGCCCCTTTAGGGGGTGGAGATAGGCTCAGAGAAGCGTGGGGCCGCTCAGCTAGAAGGTGCGTCTCGCACAGGACACTTAAGAATCCCGGTGGAAGGAGGGAACAAACAGCAGGAGGATGGGTGGAAATCCAGGCCTCCAGCCCATGCTCTTCGACGGGACCGTACGGGTCTCTGCGGAGAGGCCTCGGCGCTTCCCTGACAGCCGACGCTCCTGCAAGCGAGGCTCAGGTCCGGAGCCCGGGGGGTGACCTTCATGCTGCAGTTCTGACTCTCTCTGGTGCTTTCCATCTAGAAGGAGTGGCGCGGGGCGGATTTGCGGGGGGAAACGTGAGGGGCGACCGGGAGGGCCAGGTTGGGGGCACGGGGAGGGGGACCCAACAGGCCCGAGGCAGGACGTTGGTCCCGGCGCGCCCTCTGCTGGAGGCGGGGGTCCTGCGGCGGCCTCCCGCTTGGAGCAGCTCCTTACTCCCTCTTCCCCCAGGGGTACCGCTCCCCTTTCCTACTTTCATGGTTGTTGAAGAGACCCAAGGAGGTGGGGGAGATGAGGGTGCCCATGGGCTCCCCGCATGACCACTGCCCCTCCCTGAGCCCCCTCTTCCCCTGGTTGCAAGACCCCCTCCTGGCGTCCCCTCCCCACCCACTCACGCCTTTTCAGTCCCCCTGCCCAGCCTTCCATGTGGCCACTGCCCAAGGCTCCGTCCCGAGCCTTTGCCTCTCACTGCTACTCCTCACTCTCGTGGCCTCATCGGCACCCCCGAAGCTACCAGGCTTACCTGGAAGATGCCTCACAGGTGTGTACCTTCCAGATTCCTGCTGGAAGCTCTCGCCGTTTCTCAGCCTCACCTGGAGCATGTCCGCCTCTGCACCCTGACCTTTGCCCTGCAGCTGCTCCTCCCCCGGGGGCCCCCTCCCCAGATAGAAGCCCTACCGTTGGCTTCAAAGGTCCGTCGTCTTGGCCCCGCCCTTCTCCTGGCTCCTGGCGGCTCCATGCTCTGGATGGACTTCGCTCCCACGTGTCTCCACCTGGTTCTCTCCACCTGCCCTGCCCTCCCTTGGTCCCGCTGCCTTCCCCTCCATCAGGAAAACGGGAAAGCTTCCCCCCTGGCCCGCCCCTCCCCGTCCACTCTCTGTCCTGCAGCCAGAGTGGGCTGTGCAAAACAACGCAACCGCGCCCAGAAAACCAGCCGCAGGCCCCGCGCGGTGGGCCCTGCTGTGCCCTCCAGCCTCCTCCTTCCCCCACTCTCCCTTCCACCAGCCTTCTCCTTTGGGTTTATTTAGCTCACTGCTCCTTCCAGCTGCGCCACACACAGAGCTGCTCTTGTCCTTTCAGCCACGGGTGAAACATCCCTATGATGTTTGATGAAATATCACTTTTCAGGGAGTCTTCCGGAGTCTTCCTTGACTGTTCCTGTTGGGTCTGGCCTCCCACCCGCACCCATGGAACTGTCCTCGGAAGCCACAGGCAGGCCTGTCATGCCTGCGTGGTCCCCTGACCCTTGTCTGCCAGTGAATCCTGCCTGGTTCTATTGACCATTGTGTGTCTAGCTCCTCGGAGACTGTTTGGCCCACGTAGTGAGAGCTTTAAGCAATTTATCTGCCAATACCCCTGAAGGCACGATTTGCCCCAGTGTTCCCCAGAGATGCTCCATCTGTTGGCTGGATTCCTCTGGAAATCTCAGAATCCCTCTCTTGGAAGTTTTTCCAGGAATCTAAGACAGGTGGGTCTCTATGTCATAGCCCAGGTAGATGGGGCATAAGACGGGTCTGGCTGATCACAGACCCAGATGGTCAGGGCTGACGTCAGGGTGCCTACGTGCCACCTGCCACTGCAGATCTTTCTCTGAGCTGCCCCACCCTCCTGGAGACCTCCCGCATCCCCTGCTGGCTGCAGAAGTGGGGTGTGTGCTGCCCAGAGGAGAAGCCTCTGCACTGGGCCCCCAAATCCACATTTTGTGTTATCATGATGTTCCAATAAAGCTATCAAAACAGATGCTGCCTTGCAGTTTTATTTTTTAACTTCCTGGTGAGGAAATACTCACCAAACTCCATCATACACTGTCTTGAATTAGAAAAAGAATTATGATAAAATGTTGGGGTAGAAGCCAGCTGAGAAATTGCCTTGAAGGGTAAAAGAGTCCTCAGGAAAGGAGGTCTTATCTTGAAACATCACGTTGGAAATGAAGGACAGGCTGGTCAGAAGTTCAGATCTTCATCTGACTCACCTGGTGAGCCAGGTACATGGTACGCACTCAGTGTTTGTGGAGGGAAATATTTCTGAAACTGTCAGATTCAGCGATGCCTTTGTTAGGTGGGAGAGAGAGACATTTTTAAAATGGAAAACTTGTCAATCAAGGAAGTCTTCTGCAGTGGAGAGTAAGTGAAGCGCAAGTGAAAAACCAGGTCAAGGATTCTATGCAAGGAATGATTCCCAAAGCACTCATGAAAGGCCTTGGACAAGGGAGGGAGGGAGCTGACCAGAGTCCAGATCACTGTTGGAAAAGCGGTGTCAACAGTGAGTAGTGATCCCTGGGGTGGAAGGAGGAGGCTGTGGAATCCTGAACCTCGGGGGCCTCGCAGAAAGACACACCAAGACACACCTTGATGAATTCCCACAGGAAGCAGAGAAGAAATCGTTTGAGTCATCACAATCAAAGCTTACAGGAGCTGATCTGCCTGAAATGGATTTTCATATATTTCAGAGCAGAGAAGACAAAGTGTGTTAAGGGGTCCTTGGGGAAGATGAAAGTAGCAGACCGAGGCAGTCACTAGATAATGTCAAACAGTTCTATGTGGGTGGTATAAAAAGTGTGAGGAAGTGTCTGCTGAAGGAAAACTGTGTGTGCTGAGTACTGGAGCACTTTATAGATGCCCAGCCAGGGCCAGAAGCCTGGGGACCACAATTTCCAGAATCTCATTCCAAGAGGTTCAGATTCCACCAATGGGAAGTGGAGGAGAAGCCAAACCACTGTTGCTAAGTAGGCCAAGGAGGGAGGGACAGGAGGAGGGGAAGGAGGTGCTGGGAGGCTTGAACACGGCTGTGGGTCATGGAGCAGAGCGGTTCCAGATGGAGTTGCATCCAGGAACATTGCCTCATCCTGTGAGTAGTGGGAAGGCTTCGAAAGGCCTGCATCAAGAGGGGACTGATGAGGTCTGTATTACAAAAGAGATCTTTGAGAGTCCAGCTTGGGAAAGGGGTGAAGGCAGGGTGAGCAAGGGCAGCCCCACTTTGGGCGCGGGGAGAGGAGGGGTCGACAGTCACATCAGATCTACTCCAGACCATACAGCAGACTTCAGGCTCCAGGCCAGGTACCTGAAGGAATCAGACCCTTCCCGCCCTCCAGAGAGGTGGGCTGATGCCTAAACAATGTCACCCAGTGCTGGGGTCACCCAGAGAGGAAAGTGTGTGTGTGTGGTGTGGAAAGATGTGGGCCGAGGCAGCTGTGAACTTCTAAGGGGAAACACTCCTGGTGCGCATGGGGCTGCGTTTAGACTTGGGTTAGACACGTGGTAGGCGGTCGACGGCTCAGAGCCCTAGCCCATGGGCTTAGCCGTGGCCGACTCTTTGCGATCTTTTGGACTATGCCCACCAGGCTCTTCATTCCGTGGAGTTTTCCAGGCAAGAATACCGGAGTGGGTTGCCATTTCTTTCTGCAGGGTATCTTTCCAACCCAGGGATCAAACCTGCCTCTCCTGTGTCTCCTACGTTGCAAGCAGGTTCTTTCCCCACTGAGCCATCAGGGAAGGTCAGATGCGGGGAGCCTGTTTGGCACCTGTCAGCTAAGCTGCTAGCGGGTGACACTTGGCTGTTCAGGCTCCAGCTGGAATTTGGGGGAGAGTTTATCATCTTCATTGTCCATTTTAGGGAGCTCTTTCCAGGTCCCTCAAGCAGGAAATGACAGCCTAGGACACCCTTCTCCCACCACAGTAGCCAAATCCCACTGGAATTCTAAGCATTCCAGGGATAATTTAAGAACACTTAACAGTCACCAACAGCCCACAGGGCACAGTTGCCACAGGGCAACTGGGGAAAGGCCCTCTTTGTGCGCCAGCAGCCCTCTGGGGCTCATAATTTTGTTATTGTGAAGAGCATTTTGCAGATGTTGACGCCAGGGCCCCAACCTCTCCACTGAGGGTCATGGAGAGCAACGTGTTTCTCAGGCCCCGAGATGCCACTGTGTGAGGCAGGGCACTGGCCTGGCTGACCCTCGGCCCTTACTCCCTGGGGCTTTGCCAAGACTTTCATGTGCCTGGTGGGCCTGGCAGGATTCCCAAGTAAATAGGGCCCCAGAGGACATGCTTTTTGAGCAGCACAGTTCCCAGATCAACCCATCCTTCACATTCACCTGAACTTTTAGAAGCCTTGTCATGCACCCAGACATTAGGTCATCCCCTCCACAGAGCTGGCTTTTCCATTGGACACAGGCAGAGGGTAGCATCCCCACCACCTGCGACCTGAAGAAAGACAGGGGTGCACCCCACGTTAAAAGCCCAAGTGAAATAGCTGGGTTTCCAACCCAGACCACCTTGTCTCCCAAGTCCAGACCTTTTTTAATTTTTAACCATTCATATTATGAAATTTACATGTAAGGATTAAGCGATAATCAGATATACCCTCTTTTCAAAATTGTGACATTACAGAGAAAACCAGAGTTCTTTGGACTACCTCTCCCCAGCCTTGAGCAATTTCCAAGGCATCCACTGCTACGAAGTGTGCCGTATGGTGTTTGGTTCAATTTTGTTTGGTTTGCAACATAAAAGTTATACTGCACCTCAGGGACTGAACTCAATAATCTGTCTTCAAGGTTCAACTACATTAGCACATAAAGGGCTCCTTACTTATTTTGTCTCATGGTATTGGTACCCACAGTTCATTTAGCTGTTCCCCCTAGCCATGGACATCTGAATCATTTCTAGTTTCTGTTTGAATAATAACAGGCTTTGCCATTAAAGGTTATTATAGGATGTTGCTATACAGTAGACCCTTCTTGTTTATCTATTGTATATATGGTAGCTCGTATCTGTTCATCTCAAACTCCTAATTTATCCCTCCCCTGACCCTTTCCCCTTTGGTAATCATAAATTTGTTTTCTATGTCTGTGAGTCTGTTTCTGTCTTGTAAATAAGCTCTTCTGAATCACTTTGGTATATACCTGAAACTAACACAGTATTATAAATCAACTATACTTCAATTTAAAAAGTAACAATATGCTGATCATCTGAAACAATGTTTCCTTGTGTGCACCTGCAGGTGGGGTTTGTTCTCATTACTGTGTGTATATGCATGTGTGTCTTTCTGTCTGTCTGTGTCTGTGTGTGTCTGTGCGTGTGTGTTTAGCACACCTACACGTATAACTGTGGATATGGAGCATTATGTGTTGCCAAGTAGTCCTCCAGAGAGGCACAGCTCATTCAGGCTCCACCAATAGCACTAGGCGGGGCTTGACTCCTCACAGGTCCATCATCCACCTGTGCCTTTTCTACCATTCCCTGTGGGATGTCCTTCACCCCCAAGAAGTCACAATAGTCCTCCTAGAGGTGCCTTACCTCCAGTAAGGGCAAGCAGAGTCTCCCTTGGCTCACCCTGGGTTTCCCACGAGCTTTCCCAAGCCTCATGTTCCTCCTTGGCTCTCTGTGGAGGACAGCAGACTTGCCCGAGTCGCATCACTGGAGAAAGACCGTATCATTTCACAAGAGCCACAGCAGTGCTGCATAAGAAGTGTCCACAAACACTCAGCACGCGACAGTAACATTTCTGCAGCCCAGAAATCTGTAGGCTGGCTAATGGAGGACGGGCTCTGCTGCGGGGCTCATCTTAGCTCCGCAAATCTCTTATCCTCTCCTGGGACCCGAGTGCCCATCCCGCTGTTCTCTTCTTGCAGAAATGGCAGGGACCTGGGACAGCAAGCCCAGCAGCACGAGTGCATTTCAGGCTCCTGAGCATCTTGCCTGCAAACACAGCGTTAGCCAAAGTCAGTCGCATGGCCCAGGCAAAGATGGAGTGAGTATATCTACCCCTTCCATGGAATTGAGGTGGAGAGAGGGATGAATGTTACAGGATGACCAGCTAATCCATGACAGTGGCCAAGCCTGGATAGCAACTGAAGGCTGCCTGGCTCTAGAGCTCGGCATCCTCAGGATGGAGGAGACCTGGGTCTCTCAAGCTACTGGAAATTCCCTAGAGCTCTCTACACCTCCCACGCCACAATATTGTAGTTGCTTCCATTTCCAGTACCCCACACACCTTATGCTCATTCTCTATCCTGGCCTACAGTGAGGTC